ATTGTGCAACATGTGGAAAATTTGTTGATCAAAATCATTTGTGTTATATTAAAAAGTATAAAAAAAATCCTCCTAAAACTTTTTCAATTGTATTTTTTGATTTAGAATGTACTCAAGACAAAACAATTAAATCAGCATCTTTACATGAACCTAATTTATGTGTAGCTCAGTTAGTTTGTAATTTATGTTATAAGAACGATGGTAATTTCGAATGTACTAAATGTAAAAAACGGACACATATTTTTGAAAACTGTGTTGAAGAAAATTGTGTAACAAAATTTGTAAACTTTCTGTTAAAAATTACTGCCGACCAAACATTAAAAATTTGTTGTATAGCACACAATTTTAAAAGTTATGATGGTCAATTTATTATAAGTGAACTATTACAGCGTAACAAAACTTTGGTACCAATTATGGGAGGGAATAAAATTTTAAAAATAACATTTAATTACAATATTTTTTTTATAGATTCTCTTAATTTTTTACCAATGCCTTTGGCTAAATTTACTTCTGCATTTGGTCTTGATCAGAATGATGTTAAAGGGTATTATCCCTATTTATTTAATACAAAAGCAAACTATAACTATATTGGAGAAATTCCAAGCATTAAAATGTTTTCTTTAAATAACTTTAACTCACACGAGTTAGAAAAATTTTCTTTATGGTATAATAATCTAAAAACATCAAATTATATTTATAACAATAGAGAAGAATTAATAAAATATTGCATTCAAGACGTAAACTTATTACGTCAGGGATGTTTAAGATTTATGGATAATTATCTTCAATTGTTGAATGTTAATCCTTTTTTTGAAACCTTTACCTTAGCTCAAGCTTGTTTAATTACATACCGTAAACATTTTTTAAAAGAAAAAACCTTAGGTATAGTTCCAATTAACAATTATCATAAAAAGAATAATCAATCTTGTATTGGATTAATGTGGCTTGAATTTAAAAACCAGGCCAGCTGTGGTAAAATTCAATATGAATATGTTTTACCAGACTGTGGATTACAAGTAGACGGTTTTAATCAAGATACTAACACTGTTTATGAATTTTTAGGATGCTTTTATCATGGGTGCGAAGACTGTTTTTTTAACAGGGACTTGGTTGTTTATGGATTTAAAATGCAAACTAAGTTTGAAAATACTATGTACAAAATAAATTTTTTAAAACAAAAAGGATATGTTGTATGTTATGAGTGGGAATGTAAATTTAAAGATTTTTTAAAAAATAATCGAAAAATAGAAAATGATATAAAAAATACTCCATTAGTTATATTTAACCCGATTAATGCTCGAGATGCTATTTTTGGAGGTCGTACTGAAGTATTTAAATTATATTATAAAATCAAAGCAAATGAAAAAATTTGCTATTACGACTTTACTTCTCTTTATCCATATGTGAATAAAACTTGTAAATACCCAATAGGTCATCCAAAAATTTATAATTTTCACGAATGTAATCAATTCAAAAATGATATTAGTAAAATAGATGGTTTAATTAAATGTTCTGTTTTACCACCACAAAATTTATGGCTTCCAATACTACCAATTCGCGCTAATAACAAAATGTTAATGGTTTTATGCCGCACATGCGCGGAAAGGGAAAATGTTGTATCCAAATGTACTCACAATGATACAGAGAGGATGCTTTTTGGCACTTGGACAGATATGGAATTAAAATTAAGTGTGAAATATGGATACAAAATAGTAGAAATACATGAAATTTGGCATTATGATTGTGAAACTTATGATCCGATATATAAAACAGGTGGACTTTTTACTGACTACATGAACTATTTCATAAAATACAAGACTGAAGGTTCGGGTTATCCAACTGGTATACAAACTGAATCTGAACAAGATGCATATATAAAAAATTTTTTTGATAAAGAAGGCATAATGTTAGATCAATCCAAAATTTCTCTAAATCCTTCACTACGAAATCTGGCAAAACTAAAGTTGAATTCATTTTGGGGAAAATTAATACAACGAAATGATCGTCATATAACGACTGTTGTACAAAACATAACACAATTTCATAACTTGATTCATTCAAATGGTGTGTCAATAATGGATATATTTGTTGCAAGCAAGCATCAGATTTGGATTAGTTGGAAATACAATTTTCCTGAAATGAATCCTGTTCTTAAAAATCAATCTTTAATAATTGGAGCTTTTACTACGGCGCATGCTAGATGTCTACTTTATAATGAAATTAGCAAAATTGGTAAAAATCTTTTGTATTGCGATACGGATTCTATGATTTTTGTTCAGCAAACTGAGAATGAATATAATTTAAAGATAGGTAAAATTTTGTAGATATATATATTTTTTCGTATAATTTTGTATAATTACAAAAAATTATTTGCTTTATAGGTACTTTAATTGGAGATTTAACTAACGAACTTGCATCATATGGAAAAAATGTTTACGGTACAGAATTTGTATCAACAGGTCCCAAAAGTTATTCGTATCGTTACTATAATCCTGATACAGATAAGTTTGGAGAAGTTGTTAAGTGTAAAGGAATAACAAGTACTAAAAGTGAAACATCTTTGAATTTTGAACACATGAAGGAAATTGTTACCGACCCTTTTGGATGCAGTAATTTGTATTTCACAACAGTTAATAAAATTAAACGCCAAAAGCATTTTCAAGTAACATCAGAAGATGAAAAAAAAAAATTTGGATTTACATTTACAAAACGAGTGTGTCGTAGCAACTTTGAAACAATTCCTTACGGATTTTTAAGTACTTGGTAAGAATTAAATTCTGTATAAATTGGTAAGTTGTTCTTAATAAAAATTCATTTTAATTTCAAATGTCCACAAGAAATATGGAAAAAAAATATTTAATAGCTGACTTACAATTCATTGTTGGAAGCAACAATCAATATTATCTAAAGGAATTGGCGATTAACCACAACAAATCAGTTATTACTACCGTGTATTACTTTAAACCTCCTTATCCATATGAAGAACTTTCTGTTGCAGCACAAAAACAAAACAGTTACAACAGAGATAACATAAACGGTTTGAGTTGGAGTGATGGTCTAATTGATTACAACTGTATCCCTACTATCATTGAAAGTTTTTCGAATTACAACAGAATTTATGTAAAAGGACTTGAAAAGAAAACATTTTTGGAAAAATATTTGCCGAACCAGATAATTAATTTGGAAAATAATATACCAGCTTTAAATAAACTAACAAATTATGAATCATTTTGTCAAATCCATTTAAATTCAAATAGTCATAATAAACGTTGTGCTGTAAAAAATTGTATTAACATACTCATGCATTTATTAAAACAAAGTAAAATTTGATTTAAAAAAAAGAATATGTTTTATTTACTTGTTATATTAACGTTACATATTTCAGAGTCATTAGTTAAATTAAAATCATACAAGTAGCAAAATATTTGTTCTGCCATAAACATAGGTACTTCGTAGAATAATCTGCTATAATTACATTGGTTAGGTGAAAACTGCATTGGAATGTAAAAGTCGTCCTGAGATAACTTGGTTACACCCTTTTCTTTGCATTTTGCAAAGTATTTGTGAATATATGTCGCAACATTATCACTAGCATTGTTATTATAGGACATTATGGCTTGTATGTAATCCAACATTTCATTCAATTTCCAATATTCTTCTTGTTCAATATTAAAGATTTTTTTATCTTCTTGATTGAACTCCAAGATGCTGCAAACTGGTTGATCTTCGTTCATTATTCGAGCTGATTCCATATTCTTGGCTTGCTTGTAAAATGAGTGCCATTCGTTATAAAAAACTTGAACTGGTTTCTTACTATTCCGATGAAAAACTATTTTTGACTGAAAAGTGTTGCAATCAAAACCTATTACTACTTTGCACGTTTGTTTTGTATTCAAAAAATATGTGTAAGAGAGTAGTAAATTTTCCATTTTAGATGATCCTTTTTTAGATATTTTTGCTAGCTTCTTGGAAGTTGTTGCTTTTCTTTTAGAAGACATTTTAAGTCAGGTATCTCAAAACTGAATGAATCGTTTAAAATATGCGGACTGTGGTATTTATACTTTTTTTCAAAAACTATAACTGTGAAATCGGTTTTCTACATATTTGTAACGTGTTGTTTATATGTGGCGTATACCTGAATATTTTCTTAAACAATTTCATAACAGTTTTGTCATTGACATTTTGATTGTTACGGTTAAAAATATCCAGGAACCTTGACATGCTATAACCTTTACATCTGTACCATAAATATACGCAGCAATATTGACCACAAATTTCTGAATAGTCCCCTTGCAATCGTTTGTAATTGCAGGCAGTGTAAGAACTTTTTAGAACTTTTTTTAAGAAATTGTGAAGCTCTTTTTGAACAGGTGCTTGTCCATACGAATCAAAATATTCAATAAATCCATTTAAAGGTACAAAAATGCATATCCAATGTTTACCTGGTTTAGTATGAACATCAGTATTTACCACTACAAATCCAGGTTTTTCAAAATGCTTAGGAAGCTTGTCTAGGGGAAAAACTCCTTTGAAAAATTTTTGTGTTTGCTGATTACACGACAATACATGTTTTATTTCTAAAGTGTTCATTGTACTTATTAATCGGCTGATTCAAAAGAAATAATATCATAAATCTTAGTATTCTCTTTTAAATAATGTTTTAAAAATTGCATGCTGGAACGACCATTTGTTATAATAACATCAAATTTTTCCATAAATCCGCGAAGTTCTTTGTTTTCTTGCTCATTAAATACATTGCCGAATTTATAGTTTTTTGTGGTATTTGGCGTAATTTCTTTTGTAGGAAATTTGTAGTTTGTTTCCTTGGTGATTATTTTGGAATTTCCTCTTATTCCAACACATGTAACATTCTTAACAAATATATAATCGGTATTATCAGTACAAAACGTCAAATCGACAATTGCACAAGTTTTTTTAGACATGTTTGTTGTGTAGTGTACAACACTTGATTAATTTTAAGTTTGTAAAAATTGTTCTATTTATACATTTGTGTAGACATTGCGATTTTTGTCTATTTGAATGTTGGAATCAAATTCTCCATAAATAAGTGCTGTTAATGTAGATGAAGTTGGTTTTGATAATCTTGCTTCGATTCTTATAGTTCCTTGATTAAGTAAACCTTGGCAAATTTCATTACCCGATGCATCTGGTGTTAAATCAAAAGCCAATAAAAAGAAACCATTTGCAAACATAGATTTTGTTATTTGATGTCCTCTATCGTTATGATAAATTCCTGTTCCAGAGAATAATGTATGATAAGCTCTTGCATTGCAATTATTATCATCAGAAAAACTTGTTTCTATGGCAGCGTTTGGTACTTGCACACCATTAACATAGAGCATGAATTGTGAAATATCAAAATGCTTAAAATTGTATGGATTTTTTGATCGTTTTCCCGAATACCCTGCATTTTCAGTCATGCAAAAAATAATCGTGTTTGGTAATTGGCCAATAAAAACATTATCTAGCGAAATTGACGAACTATTACTGGGGATAGTAAAATTTTTCACTTCCACTCTTTTATAATGATATTTAGCATTTGATTTTTCTAGAACGGCATTGTGAGCTAACAATACACTAGGATTTATTGTTACATGCCGCATAAATAATTTAGCCTCTACAATTTTAAATTGTGATTCATCAGAGTCATCCGCAAATAGAAAGAAATCTGGTTTTTCTAATGTAAAAAGAATTCGAATATCCACATTATTTATTAAATGAGTGGGTTGATTAAACATATCCACATGAAGTTTTCCCATAAGCTCAACAACGTTACTATTATGATATAGTTTTTGACGTTCCTTTGAACCAGTATTGTCAGATCTAGCTATATTCGGCTTATCTAAAATCCATCCAGCACATTCTAAATGAGTAGTTGCAGCATCAGTTCCATAATTTAATAGAGATTCAATATAAGCTCTATAATGGTAATTTCCATCTGATGGAGTAATATTTTTACCATTAAGTTGTACGTTACATTGCTTAATCAGAGAATGCAAAATATTATTAACCACACTCGGTTGTTGAATTGTTTTCTGATCTGCACCTTTATCATCATGCCATGCTGTTCCATCTTTTTTCAAAATTTGAACTTTGAGTTTTATGTATGTTGAAGATAAATCCCTGTAGGTGTCGCCGTGACCCAACGAAACAAATTCTATTGTTGAAGGGTTATCCAGAGAAGCAATGGGATTGTATGACACCTCCTCAGATTTTAAAATATTGGTTTGTATTGGCGGAGTTGCAAATAAATCTAACTCTGATTTCATGCATTCATTCATTTTTTTCTTGTTTTTTAATTAAAAATATCTGTTTGGTGAATTTTTCTGCGTTTGCTCTTGGCTTTACGTTTCTTTTTATTTGAATGAGTTAATCTCGTTGCATGAGTTCTTTTTATAGTCCTTCTTCTTATACCTCTTCCATACATTTCATTCAATTTGTTTACAGCTCGGCGTCTTAAATTTTTTATTGCTTGTTTACCTCTATCTTGTAATACTTCTTTTGGATTTGCTCCAGCAGCAATATCAGATAAAGCATTAATTCCAGTATCTAAAGTCTCTTGTTTTACCAAATTTAAGCCAGATGATATGAGTGGTTTTAAATATTTAAACAACCCTCCAAAAAAACTTCCAAGTCCACGACCTCTTTGATATTGCACACTAGACTGCACTAACGGGCCAATATCATCAATACCTCTACCTGCTTGAATTAAATAATACTTGTAATACGAACGATTCATTGTATAAGAATAAACGACATGAACCTGCCCACTTATTTATATCTTTTGAAATGCAATACAATTTTTGTAGGTATGTTACTTCTGGAGAAATTTATATTATATCCAAATTTATCGCAAATTAAAACTGAAATACTATCAAAGTTATCTTTGTCTATACTGCAATATTGAACTTTTTCAAATTGTATTATTGTATCCGCAAAGGGATTGATTGTGTTTATAGTTTTCATACATCTTGTCATTGTATCGCCGATATATTGCGGTTCTATTATATCGGTATAAACAAACAGCATATCAGTTTTTGTTTCCGGAGACGTCAACAACGTATTTGCTATTATATGATAAACCTCAATAATTTTAGTTTTATATTTTTTAAGTTCTTTTTGTACAACGAGTGCTTGTTGAAAACATGTTTTTAATAAAAAGTTTACTGTATACCCAGTACCAGCCAGTATTCGTATTTCGACCACAGGTCTTTCACTGCATAGTTTTATGTACTCTGTATGAGTGGTATCTATTTTAAATTTGTTATCCAAAACATAGTTAGCATCATTTGAAATAAAATTGTAGATTTCCCATATCAATTGTTGCTCCACTTGCTTTCTGGTGTATCCTGGATTTGGAGAAATATTTTGAAACAGCGTGGGTAATAAAAGCGTTTTCCAATCACATCGTAGTTCATTTTCATTATAAGGAATATAGGTTTTTCCAATACCGATGGAATTTTTTTCTGCTGTTCCAATAAATATTACAGCAGCTTTTTCGTAAACTTCTCCAAATATATTTGGAATAAAATTGTTCAAAAAAATTTCAGAAATTCCCACTTTCCAATTACTCTTGTTTAACTCAAAATGCTTTGGGAATTTATTTGTAAATTTTGATAAAGCATTTTCTGGAAAATATTTTATTGAGGCATCACTTAATAAAGTTATATAAAAATCCTCTTCCTGATTTATTTGAATCGTGTCCATGGTTGGGTTGATGAACCAGAATCAGATTTTACTTTTGTCTTCTTACGTACAGGAAAATTCAGTTTTAGCTGTTTATCGTCTGCTTTTGTAGATGATCGAAGTACTCGTTTTGAAGGTTTTTTAGGGCTTTCAATAGGAACACTTATAATATCGCCTGAATCAGTTTCAAACATGCGCACATTTGGTGTATGAATAGATTTGCGTGGCTTTAAACGTGCACCTTCCGAAGCTACTGATAGTGCTCTATCTCGGTGAAATGATTCGTCTTTTATAGTATCGTCAAAGACATCATCCTCGTCTAAACTCCAATTTTCAATTGGTTCAAATTCAAAAAGCTCCTCTTCAGGTAAAAATGTAGTTTGTAAACCAATATTTTTTTGGTATATATCATCTGTTTGAACACTAGTACTTTTTTGTGCCGGTTTTACGCGTGTTTGCGTGCCTTTAGACTCTAATAATATTGGCTTATTTAATGAGTTAACAGGCGTCTTTGACATTCCTTGGCGTTTTTTGTTACTAAATTTCATCAAGTTTTGACGATATAAATACCATTTCTGATTATCATTTAACTTTTTGTTAAATAGAATAGCTTTTATATTTCTATCAATATCCGAGAGTTCATTATCGTTTATGATATTTTCTTTTAGTTTATTGTATAAGTCTGGTTGAATAACAATCATCCGTTGCAATGTGTTGTTCATTTTGTATATTTTGAAATTAGTTTTCCTAGTAAACCCGATAGAACTGTACCGATTAACATTGGTAAAAAACCACCTTTTTGTATAATGAATTTACGTTTAGCGTTTATAGATTTTTTTGGGCAAGCTAAATATCGAAGTTGATTTTTATATTTTCTTATTCCCAATAATTTGTTTTTGGAAAGTTTTGTATTTCCATTAAGAATGTTCAATGAAATTTCACACAAAGTTTTTATCACCTCAGAGTCACAATTCTTTATTAAAATATTTCGAAATTTTGTTTTAGATTTTTTTAACGTATGCAGTATATGCTGGTTTGCTATCAAACGTTTCATATTTCTCACATAACTTTTTATTTTTTAATTGATCTAGTGTGCAAAAGCACACACAACTTTTTATTTTATTATCATATATATCAGTTCTGAATTGAAATAAATCGTTTATACCTTGCGTCAGGTCTAAAATAATATAGCTATATGGCTTCGACGTTGTCTCATTATATAGCTTTTGAAATTCTTTAATGTTTTCTGGTACTATTTGTCGTGCCAAAGGTAAAATTTGCGATTTATCTCGTGGATTTTTAAATAGAACCAAGTACTTTGCATTTAACGATATATCTCTGCAGAATTTTCCTTGATGAAAAACATTTTGTGATACAAGCATGATTGATAGGTTGCGATGATGAGATCCTTTAGTAAAAAGTTCGCAAACTTTTTTACTGTAAGCATCAATCATTAAATCATCCAAAATAATCATTGTTGCAATATTGCTATCATTATTTAAATTTTCTGGAATTTCATTAAAATATTCAATTTGGGTAAAATTTAGGTTTTTCGGCATTGCGTTGTTTTCTGGATTACACCACATAATATGTTCTATTTCAGGTTGAATTAATTTATTCATTTGATTGATCAAATTACAAATAAATGTTGTTTTGCCTGAGCCAGACGGCCCAGCTATTATCATTGTAAACGGGTGATGGAATTGAATCATGTTTTAAACATAAACTTTTTGCAGCTCTTGATAATAAAATCTTCCGCTTATTTCTTTACCCTTCAAATCGTGCAGTACAAATAACGGATAAGGTTCTCTATTTATAATTTTATTTACTATAAAAATTTCTTTCGTCCATTTTTCTGTATAGCCATGTTCAAAAGTTGCTTTTTTTCTACGTACTCGTACTAAATCTCCGACAAAAATGTCAACAAATAATTTAGGGTCTTTTTGAAAACGTTTTTTAAAATTGTTGTAAATTTCTTTAGTATGTTTTAATTCAACTTCTGCAGGACGAAATTTTGTGGTACTGTGTACAGAAATATTGTAACTTTTAACGAGTTGCGGTAAAATGTCTATGTATCTTTTACTAGAACTTTCTGTAAAGAACCTGAACATCTTTTCTTTTAACGTTCTATTGAATCGTTCAACCACAGCCGCTTTATTTGTTGATGCTATTATTGGAAATCTTTGTTTGATATTATTATGTTGTAAAAAACTTTTAAATATTATATTTTTGAATTCTCTACCTTCATCTGATTGAACCGTTTCTGGTTTTCGTTGACTTTTTAATATAATTTTACTAAAGGCTTTTGTAACTTCAGATCCTGTTTTTTGTTTTAAAGGTACTACCCAAGCAAATTTCGAAAAAACATCAATTGCTGTTAACAAAAATGTGTAACCATCATTATATTTTTTAAACATTTTTAAATCACAAAGATCTATTTCCCACAACTGATCAATTTTTTGAACTAGGTAATGATTTCTTGGAAACTTTGTTTTGACCGGGTGATGTAACGTATAAGTTGGTTGACTCCTCAACCCAGCTTGAATTTTTTTCAGAGATATTTTATCATGTTTTAAAGCCTTGTGAAGTTTATTAATTGAACCATAAAGGTTTTCTGTATCTTTATCATAATATGTTTTAAGTATTTTAGAATTGACATTACCCATATTAAAAGCAACTTGTAAGCTTCAAATCTTTATATAAAAAGAAAACATTACAGAAAATTAACTTCTTATATATTATATTTTCTCTAAAAATTTTTAAAAAAAGTCAAATTTTAATAAAAAAATTTACAAAATGCGTTTCTTAATTCGACTAACAGGTATCGGTTTTTTATTCAAAAATTTACATACATTCTGTTTAACTCTATAAACAACAGATTCTTCATCCATTCAAAACTTACATACATTCTGTTTAACTCTATAGATAACAGATTCTTTATCCGGCTGGAAGACAAAAAATTTTATATCTTGGCATGCCTACGTTTACGTTAATATTCCACCACGATTTATATTTTTCTTTTTATATTGCTTTTTATTTTTTAAAGCTTTTTTGTTTTTTTATATTGATTTGCTTGATCAAGTACTACTCGAAAAATATTTTATATCTTAGCATGTAAGCTACACCTACGTTAATATTTCACCACGATTTATATTTTTCTTTTTTATATTGCTTTTTATTTTTTAAAGCTTTTTTGTTTTTTTATATTGGTTTGCTTGATCAAGTACTTCTCGAAAAATATTTTATATCTTAACATGTAAGCTACACCTACGTTAATATTTCACCATAATTTATATTTTTCTTTTTATTTTGCTTTTTATTTTTTAAAGCTTTTTTTGTTTTTTATATTGGTTTGCTCGATCAAGTACTACTCGAAAATATTTTATATCTTAACATGTAAGCTACACCTACGTTAATATTTCACCACAATTTATATTTTTCTTTTTATTTTGCTTTTTATTTTTTTATTTTGCTTTTTATTTTAAAAGCTTTTTTTTTGGTTTTTTATATTGGTTTCTTAGCAAAAGTGCTACTCGTAAATACCCTTTCACTCACTCCAATTATTTTTTTATATATTTTACTACGGAGAAGTACT